TGCGATTGGGGGAGGGATAGAATTCCCCAAAGCCTGACATTGAACAATATAGATAGATCAATGGAAGTCTCTAGGAGAATATTTATATATCTATTGATTTAAAAATAATAATATTTATATACCACTGTACAGTGGTACCTCAGGTTAAGTACTTAATTCGTTCTGGAGGTCTGTTCTTAACCTGAAATTGTTCTTAACCTCAAGCACCACTTTAGCTAATAGGGCCTCCTGCTGCCACTGCGCTGCCGCTGCACGATTTCTATTCTCATCCTGAAGCAAAGTTCTTAACCCGTGGTAATATTTCTGGGTTAGTAGAGTCTGTAACCTGAAGCGTATGCAACCTGAAACATATGTAACCTGAGGTACCACTGTATCAGGGGGAAAAAATCACAGCCATTTACAGCAGTATGAAAACATAAAAACCGGTCGATAAAATCATAAAAAGTTAACAGCAGAAAGAAATGAAAAACAAACACCAGCTGACCATTGTGGGGGTATACTCTCAATTGCCTGGCAGAACAGGAAAGTTTTCAGCAGACATTTAATATCCATGTGCAGTATGACATTTCACAAATGGGTGGCTTGCGGAGACTCCACAGGCACCACAATTCTAAGCAATTTGTGTGACAACCTCCCTGATCAGGTGATTTTAACCAGGGTTGTCATAAAATGGAAGAAATCTCTGCTGTTTAATTTTAGACCTTGATGCATATAAGTTTGCATTATCTGAAAAATAGTTCTAAAGAAAAAACAATACACGTTCTCTGTTTTCAGATGATGTATCACAGCAGGTAGCGTCTTGGAAGAAGAAGTTCTCTCTTCTCTCTCACCTGGGAAGCAATGCCTCTCTTTATCTACACTTTTTAGAGCTGACAGGTGGGCCTTTTCATCTACAGGGTTTTTATATATATATATACAGAAATAGTAGTATTACGAGATTTGCTGTCGGGTTAACTGAGGACCTTAATTCACCTAACCAATTAACTGACTAAACATTGCAGCCCATCCCAACAAACTGACAAATAATTATGCATGGAAATTAAGAATGAGCAACACTTTGCCAGCAAGAAGCAACTAATCTTCCTCATGAAGACGGATGGCTTCAGTAGAGTGATTAACAATGCAATCCTAGACATGTCACCTGGAAGTTAAGGCCTCATGTATTCAATGTGTCTGGCTCCCTATTATGTTTGTGGGTTGCAGTATCAGGAAATGAGCTTGAAGCCACCAAGTCCTCTGGCTGAAATCTCACTTCAGCAATGAGCTCATGGCGGCCTGAGGCAAGTCCTAACCCCTTAGCCTTAACCCAAGAGGAAATAAATGAAGAAATTGAAACATTGTCTCAGGAAATGGAGCCTACAGATTGAATGGCAAAAAGAAGGAAAAGATCGGCAAATATATCATTATGATCAGGCATGTCCAAAGTCCATTTCAGGGGCCTAATCTGGCCTGCCGGTTGGTTTAATCCAGCCCCTGTGGCAGTTTACTTCCTGGGGTAAAACCCTGAAAAAAGGTCAACAACTTCAATGCTAAAAACAGGTCAATAACTGGTTGGCCCTTTGGTCGCCCCTCACAGCCCTTCACTTCATCAAATCTGGCCCTCTTTGCAAAAAATTTGGACACCACTTGTTGAATGGTTTATTTAAATATTAAGGTTCATTGTATAGAAGGTGCTGTTAAATTGTGTTAATTAAGCTGTGTCAGCAATTGGGTATAGTATATAAAGAGCAGCGTGTGCCTCTCTCAGTACCCTGGTCGATGGATGGGTCATACTCATAGATTTAATGTAAGAGGAGTTTTTGTTTTTGTAATTAAAGCCAAGCAAAAGATATTTTTGCGTTTCTTCATTGTTTCCTGAACGTGTGGTCTCCCCAGCAAGCTTTCTGCAGTGCAATTAATCTGCTAAATACGCAACACCACTGACTTATCTCAAAACTGCAGGAATTCAACATGTGTGTACTTTCAACCAGTTCCAAGTATGGAAACAGGTATCTTCTCAAAATACTGTATACCTTAAAGTTCCTCCCATCCTTCCTTCACAAGTGTCTTTGTTGTAAGCAACTTTGGATGAAGAATGAAGAATGGGGGGTAGAGGTATGAACCCAGCCTTACAGTGGCCATGGATGTATCTTCTTGTTTTGATTCCATGGCTATTGCTGCCCACCTGCCATCACTCCCTTCATCTTTTTCCCCCCTCTACGACCTCAAGACTGCAGAAAACTAAATTAGCAGTTCTCTGAGAAACTGTGTCTCGGAATACTAATTATGCAACATGGGAATTGGATAGGTTTCCCGGTTTGCAAACATTATTCTCCAGTGTGGAACGTGGCCTTTCAAAGTCGTGGAGCAGACTTCCTGATGCGATTTCTGTCACCCTTGTCAGTTAAGCTTGAGCCATATTGTGCTTCGATACATAACCATGTTTTCTTTTTCCACATAATGCTTTTTGTTCTTTTGTATCTGTACACCAGTGCATGAGTATCTCACATCTGCCTAGCCACTGGTATATGGGTATACAGACGTAGAGTTAGGATGTAAACGAAAACTCTGCGATTCTAGCGTGCTACCCAAAGCCTGCCGAAACAGGAGCTCACAACGCTCCTTACGATGCTGATGAACAATTCATGTACATTATGAACTATGTGCATGAAACATCTTCCCCTGCTAAAGTGAATATTCATGCAGTATTTCTATATGTACATTCTGCTCTATGCCAGGACAGATCTACTGGATCCAAAATGATTACCAACTAATCATAGGAAAAAATAACCTGGTCGCTGAATTTACAGAAATCTGGAACCTTTATATATCTGATGAACCAAGGTGGATAAAAATCAATGATTATTATTTTTTAAATTGGATTTTCTTTATTTAAATCAGATTTTTAAAATAAAATGGTTTTGGAGGAAAAATCTTCCTAAAGATAGTTTTCTATTTAAGTTATGTTATAGTCCAAAAGCTATTCATCAGGAAATGATTTAAGTTTTTCAAGTGCGCTAAAACGCAGTAAGTTTTCCTAAAAAATTGTTTAACCACATCAGTTAACAAATATGGATACATATGCTATACTCTTATTGTTTTAGTTAAATAAATTGTTTAAATTGTTATTAAGGAAATGATTATTTTTCTCCTTCCATTAAAGTACAGCAGAAAAGTTGTACAAATATAAGCAGTTAACTTACTAAACCTCACAATAATTTCATAATTTTCTGTCAATGTATTTCTCATAGTATAAACAAATCAGTAATTTTTGATATAACTGTAAAAACTACTCTGAAAATTTATCATTCCAAAAATGAAACCTACATCTGGTTGTAAATATTAAGATTATACCAGCAAGAATGAGTCCTTCTGTAAAAAAAAGATTTAAATCCAGTCTTACTGACTCGTGATTTAAATCGTGATTTAAATCGATTTGATTTAAGTCAAATCCACCCTATGATGAACAATGTTGTGATTTGGAGATGCTATCAAACATCAACTTTTGGTATATATTTTTAAATGACATTACATCTATATCATGTTTTTTCAGTACAGTGAACATTTTATTTTCTAAAGGATCTCAAACATATAAAGGCTGCATGCCAGCCGACTTGGTTATGATTCTCCTAGCTAAACAGGCAGACACTAAAATGCAAGCTTGTGGTGATAGGGTTCGTTTAGGGAAAGGTTTATTTTAACAGGACAGCCTGGGAGACATTGTGATCTTCCCCAGCGCTTCCTGTCAACGTAAGAGGACACCCAGCAATTGCTTTGATTGATCTGTGCTTTTACAATGGATTTACTAATCTCTGCATTTCACTGCCTCTGCATCCCAAGCACTTACTTTCCCATTTCAATCAATTTAAAAACCCTCTCACCTTCCCCCCAATATTTTTTTTAATTCAATGACATTCCAACATGCCCTCCCATATTTTCCTAAGTCCTATTCATTTAAGTCATTATTTTGCCAACTAATGCATTTAACTTCTAAACACTTCCTAAACCCGTTGATTCGGAAAAGAATGAATATATATATATATATATTTCAAAGAGAATGATAAAATGTTAACTGTATCTATATTTGTAGGCTCCAATATACATTTCTTAAATTTGATCCGGATCCAAACCTATTTAAAGTCATGCAATCTATTGCTAAGGGACGCGGGTGGCGCTGTGGGTTAAACCACAGAGCCTAAGACTTGCCGATCAGAAGGTCGGCGGTTCGAATCCCCGCGACGGGGTGAGCTCCTGTTGCTCGGTCCCTGCTCCTGCCAACCTAGCATTTCGAAAGGACGTCAAAGTGCAAGTAGATAAATAGGTATGGCTCCGGCGGGAAGATAAATGGCGTTTTCGTGCGCTGCTCTGGTTCACCAGATGCGGCTTAGTCATGTTGGCCAAATGACCCGGAAGCTGTACGCCGGCTCCTTCGGCCAGTAAAGTGAGATGAGCACCGCAACCCCAGAGTCGGCCATGACTGGACCTAATGGTCAGGAGTCCCTTTACCTTTACCTTAATCTATTACTACTTGAAATGGGCATGCGCACACTCCTAAATTAGCTAATCAGAGCTGCTAATTTTAAAATACAGTGGTACCTCGGGTTACATACGCTTCAGGTTACAGACTCTGCTAACCCAGAAATATTACCTCAGGTTAAGAACTTTGCTTCAGGATGAGAACAGAAATCGTGCTCTGGCTGCGCGGCAGCAGCAGGAGGCCCCCATTAGCTAAAGTGGTGCTTCAGGTTAAGAACAGTTTCAGGTTAAGTACGGACCTCTGGAATGAATTAAGTACTTAATCCGAGGTACCACTGTACTGGCAAATAAGTAGAAGTTTGGGTGTCATTCACATGCAGAAATCAGGTATTTCCCATCACCCCTTATCAGCACCTCATGCACTGTTTGCATTGTCTGCAATGTTATAGTTTTGTATTGGAAAACCTAAGTTAATCTATCTATTTTCTCAATGCAGCAAAAACACACTTCAGTTGCATTTGGGAAATTAAAAAAAGAAGACTTACAGAACTGTCTTTCACCAGAAGGGCACAACACTGGATCCCTGCCATTAGCATCTTATGAGGATTCCATGCCACCGAATTAGCCCTATGAAAGTAATAAATGGACAGAAGCAGAAAATTACTTTGCAATTGCAGTGTGATTGCCTATGATAAAGCAGAATTTTCTTCATTTTTTTTCCAGGTTTCCAATCACCATCCTCATAGTGAGCATGACACAATCTATCCAAAACGAAACGTGAGTGTCTGTGGTTTCAGTGAGAAATGATGGTCTCCCTGAAGTCAATGGGACTTCAAAAATGCTTGCATTTGACTTTAATTATCCCCTTTCCAAATTAAACGTCATCTACCTGTGGATGCCTTGCAGAAGTTTGCGGTGCTTCCTTGACAGCAAAGCTGAGCCTCCCCACGATGCCTGTGGAGATATTTATTAAAAGTTATAAAGTGTTAGTTCAGCACTGTATAATTTAATTATTACTCTCATTAGAGGGTTTTAAAAGTTTAGACGGCAGGGATGGTACGGACTGGATTCTCTTGACTGCGCCACTCATTTCAAAGAAACCAAAAGAAGACATATATACTGGCTTGAATAAGGCCTCGCTTACACAAGCACAGTATATCGCTGTTAAGTACCTTCTCTGAGCTATATACGTACGTACATCAGTCTAAAGTTTGTTTGAAATTTTTAGAAACATTTTACTATTGTTCTGCCAGCAGAATAAGTTACGGAACACTGAACAGCTGAATAAAACCAAAGGTGTTTGTTTACATGAGTAATCATGGAAACTAACCATAACTAGTGAGAATCTTCAAAATGAATTCTGGAAGATTTAGATTCCCATCTCTTTATCTGTTGCATACATTCAAGCGGAGTGAAATCTAGCAATTATTCTATCTAACTTGATATTACATCGCCTCCAACATTCTTTCAATGAAAATGGGCGGCTGCCAACTTATGTAAAAACATAACGAAACATTAAACATTTAAAAACTTCCCTATGCAGGGAAGTTAGTTAGTTAGTTAGTTATCTCTTTGGCTCAGGGGTTGCATAACCCCATACCTTCCAACATGAAAATAGCGACGTCTTAAGGAAAAGGGACGCGGGTGGCGCTGTGGGTTAAACCACTGAGCCTAGGACTCGCCGATCAGAAGGTTGGCGGTTCGAATACCCGCGATGGGGTGAGCTCCCGTTGCTTGGTCCCTGCTCCTGCCAACCTAGCAGTTCGAAAGCACGTCAAAGTGCAAGTAGATAAATAGGTACCGCTCCAGCGGGAAGGTAAACGGCATTTCCGTGCACTGCTCTGGTTCACCAGAAGCGGCTTAGTTATGCTGGCCACATGACCTGGAAGATGTACGCCGGCTCCCTCTGCCAGTAAAGCGAGATGAGCGCCGCAACCCCAGAGTCGGCCACGACTGGACCTAATGGTCAGGGGTCCCTTTACCTTACTAAGGAAAAGAGGGACATTCTGGGATCAAATCAGAAACTGGGACGGCTTCTTTACATCCAGGATTGTCCCTGGAAAATAGGGACACTTGGAGGTTCTAGAATTATTGTCAGTTTCCTCTGAAGTTGTGGAATACTCATAAGTATTCTAGTTGCACAAGGAGAATTCAGAACATGTGGAAGGTGAAAGGCCGTTTCAGCAGAAAAGGGTGTTTCATGGGATTTAGGAACAAGAGAGCAGACACATATAGGATCACGCTGTATATAGCCTTGGGTCATAAATAACAGCCTATATTTAGTGATCTGAATCTGTTCCCAAGCCACTGCAAATTTAGCACATTTTATATATAGCTTTTTCTCAGGAGGCCTGGACAGAAGAGAGTGATAAATTACAGCAGACATGCCCTTGATAGACTCTGCATCCATCCCTCTGGGATCAGCTCATACCTGGAAGACATTTTTCCACATCCTTAAACACACAAAGAGACTACTTGGGCCAACTCTGTAGAGAAATCTTCCCACCACTATTATGAATGGTGCCTCTTCTTCCAAAGGGAATCAAATAACATCCCTACGACAGCTACATCAGCCGTAACGTAATACTAGGGAAGCAATTTATTTTTAGCTTCTCCAAATGATTTACTCTGAAGAAATAAAGAACCTTATCAAAGGCATTATTGCCAAGCAATCAACAGCTCACTGATTCCGAAAGAAGGCACTTTTAACAACAAAAAGATTTGCATATTTCCAATAACCCATCTGCAAGAAGATCAGGAAAATAGCAAAAATTCTCAGGTGTTTTTTTTGTGGGGGGGAGCTTACCAAACTTTCATGTTATGTTAATCCTCCTTAGCTGTGTTTGCAGAAACTGCTTTACTGAAAGCCTACAGTAATACCACTTAGGTAAATTGAAAATTATTTAGTCATTCCCCATGAATGGATATTTCTGCAAGTCATACAGTTTTGGAATGTTTAGATGTTAAGCAAACAGAACTGTGCTGGAATTCCCATAGCGAAACCTACTGGAAGAAATCATGATAACAAACTTTATATATATATAAAAGAATGGAAATGGTTTGTTGGATATTTACAGATAAATTGTAAACAGATAAAAACACTGGCAGGATTATTGTAATAACCTGCAGCTATATAAGGGTGTGTGTTTGTGTGTGTTTGTGTGTGTGTGTATAAGATATATAAATGAGTAAGTTAATTTGGATATGCAGAAGATATTAAAAATAAATTTAAGGAACCTCAGAAAAAGGGGAAGGAAGTCAAGTTTTAAAATTAAAATCAGTGAAAAGTATATATCTGAAAAGTATATATATTTTTTAAAGGAATTCCCACAGAGAAACAATGTATTGCTAAAGGATAGTACCACTGGCACAGAAATGGAAATCTAGGAGTCATTCTAGATATTTAGGATAAATAACTCAACATTCACGTAACAATAGGACAATAACCTCCTAACCACCATCGTCCTGGACTCAGGAGACCAATGACTCAGCCAACCAGACTAATATTTTCTGACTATTTTTTTCAGGAGTTCGAACAGACATGGGGAATTGCTCCCACTGGGAGATTGCAAGCAGTCTTCAGAGCTTTCCCCTAATCCTCTCATAATGGAAGGGGAACACAGTGCCTGGAAGAAGTCCCCCTCAAACTCCCCTTCTTCCACTATGGAGCCTATGAAAGAACCGCGAGCACCTTGGAGGAATAATAAAACAAAAGGTTATGTTATGCCGAAGCCAACACAACCTTTGAGGAAAAGTCCAAGTCTACAAAAGTCAACACCCTGAAGATTCTGGGCCCCACAGAGCTTAGACTGGCCTCGACCAGAGCCAGGGCCTTTTCGGCCGTGGCCCCGGCCTGGTGAAATGCTCTCTCACAAGAGACCAGGGCCCTGCGAGATTTGACATCCTTCCGCAGGGCCTGCAAGACGGAGATGTTCCGCCAGGCCTTTGGTCAGGGTTCTGTCTGAGACATTTCTCTTTGTATAAGAAGAAGCACGAAGGAGGGTTCCCAGCCCGCTCACAGGTCCTTATAATATCAGTGGAAATAGTTGGTCCTGGCGAGTATTAATCGCTTTCAATTTTAACCTGAGGATTGTCATTTGTCCAGTTTTAAGTTTAATTTATTTGAATTAATTTTGGGATGCATTTTAGTCGATTTATTGCCTGTTTTTATTGTATTATTTATATGATGTTAGCCACTCTGATGCCGGCTCCGGCTGGGGTATTATTATTATTATTATTATTATTATTATTATTATTATGCAGGCAAGCTCTTAATATTACACAATGAAAAACTAATGTAATGTGGTACAGGGCTTAGACAGTGAAAGTTACCAAATATGTCTGGGCAAAACAACCTCTCAAGCTAAGCTACATCAAAATAAAGATACTCTGAACTCTTCAGAGAGAGACAGTCCACAGATTTATGCATTAAACAAAACGTAGTTCGGTTTTTAAAACACCATTAGTTGGGTTTGCAAAATCAGCTGCACTTTCCCCCCCAGCATGTGTGAGAACGGCTCCGCGGTTAAAAGGAAGGCTTAATAAAGTGAAACAATGAACAAATGTTAATAAAACTAACTTACATCAACATGCAGCCAAAGGTCATGTTTCTCGCAGATGTCGGCAATTTCATCCAGAGGATCAAACGCTCCCAGAACTGTGGTGCCAGCTGTAGCGCTGACAAAAAATGGTGCTGAACCCTGTGGAATGATCCAAAACAAAAGATTGTTTGCACTGTTCAAATTCTCCAGTGAGGGTGACACGCTAAATACAATAAGGTCTGGGAATCTAGGACAAGACTAACAATGTCTACATTTTACATTCTCAGCAGCAAACTGGTCTTTTAAAAGTATTCTATCCGAAACGTTGGAAAAACCTGGGTTACTTAAGTGCCAGAGTGTCAAACATCGACTGTCAATGATCAATGCTCTCTCGTGGTCTGGTCCCAAAATCTTTACACATATGTCACTGGAAGCAAACTGATTATCTCTCTTTCTCTAAATTCAGGTTGGAAAGATTTCCGTTATGGCAGGGCTAGCTTAAGACATTTGCGGTACCTGAAGTGGGAAATCCAAACTGCAGCATAAGCAATGGTTCACCCTCCCAGGCAGTGGGAAATATAACCAAATAAACAACTGACAATTTCCTGCCTTTCAGATGGTACCGAAGAACAACCGCCCCCAGAAAATAACGTGATGGTGCTGGCAGGTTCTGCTTCGTGGCAAGGCAAGGCCAGCCTGGCACAAGACTACTGTGATATTTAAGATATTTCAACCGATTGGTTGGGTCAACTTTAAAGGAGAAGTGGGTTCTTCTGTAAGGGACAAGTTGTGCCTGGCATTTATGCCTTTCTGAATTTAATGTGAATCAAAACCAGCAACTGAGGCATGTGGGGGTTAGTACCCAAACCTTTCCTCCACTGCTATGGTCCTAATAAACCTGCCCCCCACCCCAGATTGCAATTTGCTTCAGGGGGAAGAGTGATTTTCAGCAAGCTCACAGCATGGGAGGCAAGGGTCAATTGCTTTTACAGTGGTACCTCGGGTTACATACGCTTCAGGTTACACACTCCGCTAACCTAGAAATAGTGCTTCAGGTTAAGAACTTTGCTTCAGGATAAGAACAGAAATCGTGCTCTGGCGGCACGGCGGCAGCAGGAGGCCCCATTAGCTAAAGTGGTGCTTCAGGTTAAGAACAGTTTCAGGTTAAGTACGGAGCTCCGGAACGAATTAAATACTTAACCCGAGGTACCACTGTAAATGTAAAAATAATAAACCATCCCCTTCCTGTGTGCCAATGATCCTGATCTGGATCAGAAATCCGAGGGGCTATTTCAGATTTTCCCCCCTAAAGGTCACATTGCATGCAGTAACTAGGGGGTGCATGAGAATCACATTGCAAGTCCCGAAAGAGCCTTGATTCTTTGTGAGCACTCCAAACACAAATGCACTAGCCATTCTAAGCAAGTGAGCACAAAATGGATTTATCCACTATAAGGGGAGAGTGCCCTCCAGCTCCTCAAGGGAATATCACATTCCCACCAAGGAGGGCAGGTTCAGTATGGGTCCCAGTGCTGGTTGATAGACCAAATCCCAAGAGTGCTCACTAATGGTTCCTCGTCATCCTGGGGGAAAACTGACAAGAAGGGTTCCGCAGGGTTCTGTCCTGGACCCGTTGTTGTTCGACGTCTTTATATAGTCAGGCATAAGCAAACTCGGCCCTCCAGATGTTTTGGGACTACAACATCATCCCTGACCACTGGTCCTGTTAGCTAGGGATGATGGGAGTTGTAGTCCCCAAACATCTGGAGGGCCGAGTTTGCCTATGCCTGATCAAGCACTTGAATAAAGGTATTGGGGGGATGCTAATAAAATTTGCAGGTGATATCAAACTGGGAGGGGCAGCTAATGCCACAGATAACAGAATTGGGATTGAAGAGGACCTTAACAGATTGCAGAACTGGGCCCAAACTAACAAAATGAATTTCAACAGAGAGAAATGTCAGGTTCTACACTGAGACAGGAAGAACCAGCTGCACAAATATAAGGCTTGCCAGTAGTACATGTGAAAAGGATCTAGGAGTCTTAGTAAACCACAAGCTTAACATGAGTCAACACTCTGATGCAGCAGCAAAAAAAAGCCAATGATATTCTAAGCTGTGGGGACAGAAGTGTAGTGTCCTGATCAAGGGAAGTCACAGTAAAGCTCCAGTCTGCCTTGGTCAGACTACGCCTGGAGTGCTGTGTCAGCTTGGGGTACTACAATTTGAGAAGAATATTGACAAGCTGAACATGTGCAGAGGAGGGCAACCAAGATGATCAAGCGTCTGGAAACCAAGCCTTATGAGGAACAGTTGAGGGTGTTGGGTATGTTGAACCTGGAAAAGAGGAGACTGGTGGAGGGGAGAGATATGATAGCAAGATTCAAATATCTAAAGGGCTGTCACACGGAAGATGAACAAGTTTATTTCCTCCTGCTCTGGAGGCTAGGACCTGAACCAATGGATTCAAGTTAGAAGAAAGGAGATTCCGACTCAACTTCAAGAAGAACCTTCTGACAGTAAGAGCCATTTGAGAGTGGAACGGTTTTCCTCGGGTGGTGGCGGACTCGCCTTCCTTGGAAATTTTGAAGAAAAGATTGTGTGGCCATCTGTTACATATGCTTTAGTTGAGATTCCTGCATTGCTGGGTGTTGGCACTTAGGTGACCCTTCCAACTATGATTGTATGAAGGATAACTCCTGAGCACAAATGGACCTGGTGCACAAATGGTGCACTGGGGAATGTAGTATTTGGGCCCTATTTTGCAGTAACATATGGTTTTCATAGTAGTGATGTATGGAAGTGAGAGCTGGACCATAAAGAAGGCTGATCGCCAAAGAATTGATGCTTTTGAATTCTGGTGCTGGAGGAGACTCTTGAGAGTCCCGTGGACTGCAAGAAGATCAAACCTATCCATTCTGAAGGAAATCAGCCCTGAGTGCTCACTGGAAGGACAGATCCTGAAGCTGAGACTCCAATATTTTGGCCACCTCATGAGAAGAGAAGACTCCCTGGAAAAGACCCGGATGTTGGGAAAGATGGAGGGTACAAGGAGAAGGGGACGACAGAGGACGAGATGGTTGGACAGTGTTCTCAAAGCTACTAACATGAGTTTGACCAAACTGCGGGAGGCAGTGGAAGACAGGAGTGCCTGGCGTGCTTTGGTCCATGGGGTCACGAAGAGTCGGACACGACTAAACAACAACAAAGCTCCATTGCCCCTGCTGCTGCTGCTCTCCCCTTCCTCCTCTTTCTCCACATAAATTTAGAAGCTCGATGGGAGCAGCAAAGGAAGGAGTGGTATAGGTTCAAGATGTATAGAGACCTTTTCTCAAATAATGAACCAGAGGCACTTACTGTTTTAAGTGCATTTTGACTATTAACACATTTAAAGAAATGCACAGTGTAGCCTCGAATTTCACCGTTGTCAGAGACCATAACGTGAGCAGATGACAGCGTAACTAGGTAGGGTGCTGCTACTACCACCTCGCCATAGCCACGCCTTTCTATAGCATACTTATCTTTCTCCCTTCCCTGTTATTTTCTTCTGAACTAAGAGTAAGAAGAGTCCCTGGTATTAAATGCTAATAACAACATTCAGTTGATGATAGTACTAATTAGCTCAGCTAGGAGGCTACTCATGCAAGGAAGAGATTCCTCACCTCTCAGGGGATCTTACCTGCATTACATAATTAGTGCTTATTTTTCCTGCCATCAACAATCTGAATCTGCTGCCAAATGTGGATAGAAGGTCTACAAAAGGACAGGATGTATGTGCGGCAATTTCCCACGCAGTAGCAGGAGACCATGTGCATGAGAAGTGGACAAGACAGGCCCAGAGGGGCAGGACACACCAAAAGCACATATCCCACCAGGTACAAGGTGTGGAACCACCATAGACTGAAGCTACTGGGATGAGTAGACTGCAGGGATTGGATGTGTGGCAACTTCACATGCAAACCCCTTCAGAACTACAGTTATGAATGAGCCCTGATCCAATGACATATTAATCACAATGGCTGGGATCTTGAGGGAGGGAAAGCCCTGCTACTAGGTAGGATTTGTAGACAGGTAGCTGCATCCTATGGTCCAAATGGCCACACAAGGAATACGTAGCAGGGCTATGAAGTAGCCCCTTTTGACCATTGTGTGCCATAACCCAACTCTCTCCAAACTTCAGGAGTAGCAGCAGACAAAACGTTAGGGGCTGCAGTTGAAAAGCAAAAATCAGATAATACTGATGTGCATAAACTCGTTGGGTCTCCGTCTCAACATTGGCATCGTTATCACGCAAGTTTTCATCAATCTGCTGGAAAAGACTTCCCACCCAAAGTATTAAGCTTGCAACAGGAAGCAGGGTTTCTGTTATTTATTTCCAAAGGCTTGAGTCTCAATTGCCGTATAGCACTAAAACTAAAATTTCAAAGTACGGTACACACTATGGCCTGGTTTGCACAACACAGTAAGACAAACTATGGTTTACAGGGATCATGCAAACCACAGTTTAGTGTGCCACCTGAACCGAGTCTCGTATTTAAGCTCTCTCCTCACTAATCATGAGCTGTAGCAAGGTTTCTTCAGGTGACAATACTAAGCCAGGCATGGGGAACCTTTGGCTGCCCAGATGTTGCTGAAGTCCAAATCTCATCTTCCCTGGATACTGGCCATGCTTGCTAGAGATATAGTTCAACAACATCTGGAAAGTCAAAGATTCCCCACACTTGCAGTAAGCCACATTTTTGGCTTACCTCCGTGTTGTGCAGGAGCAAAAGGAAATGGGGAGAAACAAAGAAGCTGCAAACTCTTATCTGGGAGCCTGCATCTTTCTGAGGTCCCAGAAAGTCAGAGTTTCATTTACTGTACTGTGCAAGCTAGGTAATTATATGCAGTTGTTTGTGAACAGGAGTGAGTGGAGCCTTATATTGCGTTTATACATATGCTGAAGCTATGGAGCTAACAACCTAATCATCTGCAGTACTTAGGACCTTTCTTTTAAATTCTTCTCACTGCAATAATATCTTAAGAAACACTATCTCCTGAAAAGCCAAACACAAAAAACCCCGCTAAGTAACATTTTCCTCCCAAAGCAACAGCTGTAAGTTTTCATTACGCTGAACTATTGATTAAAGTGACTTTCAGGTTACGAACTTAAAACGCTGAACAAAAAAACCCCCAAAATAATATCTCCTGCAGCCAATGGAACAGCCTCATAAATCCCACTAAACTGGATTCTTTTGGCTTTGATGAGACTTTAAATAGGTTTTTAGCTTAACATTGGGGGGAAAGGAGGAGTACTTCTCAGAAATTGTCTTTTCACTTTGCCATGAGACTCTGGAGCTAGCTGGAATGATTGCCAAACGCATTTTCAGTGGGAAATTTTTTTTTTTAATGCTTCAATGATATTGACATGCATTTGGGCAGAAGGAACGGAAGGGGACACATCCTGTGCATTAATCGGGCTTTCCCACCCCTCTTCCTTCCTTCTCTCCACACTTCATTCTGGATAATTTAAATGTGAATTTAAAACCATAATCTTCCACGAATGTCAGGCTAAAATAAAATCATACTTGCTGCAGTCCAGTGATTTCTTCTGGGGAAAGGTAGCTTCACCGGCAGCTTTATTCAAACAGACAGAAGGATTCGTAGAGAGAATGACACATTGCCTTTGAAAAGCACCTAGAGATTTCAACTGGTGCAGAGTGTAATCGCCCAGTTATTAACAGGGGCTGATCACCACAACCAGCATCTAGTGAATGTTTTCACACATTGGACAGTTTGCTTCCGGACCTAAACCAAAGTGCTCATGCCATACCCTACAACATTTCTCTGAGGAAAATAGGGCCGTTCCGTTCCATAATGATAATTTTACTATTTATAAACACACACACACCACGTCTTCCTGGGTTGCCCCAGCCACTATGGGCAGCTTCCAACATATATAAAAACATTATAAAACTTTAAACATTAAAAAAAAAAACCTTCCCTATACAGTGGTACCTTGGTTTAAGAACAGCTTAGTTCACGAACAACTTGGATTAAGAACGCTGAAACCCGGAAGTAGGTGTTTTGGTTTGTGAACTTTGCCTTGGAATAAGAACATGCTTCGCTTCCTGTTGAGTGTGTTCCATTTGTCAATTGAGTCCCCTGCTGCTATGGGAAAGCACGTCTTGGTTTAAGAACGCTTTAGTTTAAGAACGGACTTCCGTAACAGATTAAGTTCGCAAACCAAGGTACCACTGTACAGGGTTGCCTTCAGACAGCTCGGAAGTTGGATAACTCCATACCCTCCAACATTTCTCCAGTGAAAATAGGGACATCCTAAAGAAAAGCAGGACATTCTCCAAATCAGGGACGTCCCTGGAAAATAGGGACACTTGGAGGGTCTGTCATGTTCACCACTAAAGCTAAGTGGCTGACCAGGATCTGGATATAAAAAAACCCAACTTCTTCCAGAGGGATCTTTCTACAATTCAGATCCTCTTCAGAAATCCTACTCTGGATGTCCCTGTCTTCGAAAGTTCAGAGGTGACTCAAGAAGGCCTTTTCAGTGGTGGTGCCCAAATTCACTTGGCACCACCACTGTTGTCCTTTAGGTGCCTGTCAAAGTCTATGCTATTCTCAGATGCTTTTAATGGTGCTGGAGTCTCAGCTATTTCTATTTTCTCTGCTCGCTTCACTGGCTCCTGCAAATTGCTTCTTACCTGTTCTATTTATTGTGGCTTATTATAATTTGTTTTTTTAATGCAAGCTGCCTTGAAGCTCTTTTGGGAAAGGAGGGGGTAAACATACCTTAAAGAAAAGAAAAGAAAATGCTGTTGCTCCATTGAAGTGAACGAGAAAGCAGGGAGCTCTGTGTGCGCATTGCAACAAATGAAGAACTCTGGAACCGTGTTAGGGAGCCATCCTAACCCATCACAACACGGACAGAATACCCCATCATGAAGATACACACAACATAGTTCTTTTCTACCCAATCCCACAACAAAAAATGGTAATGACACTACAGCCTTTGTGGGGTGAGGATGGGGGAGGGTTAGATAGATATTACAACCATCAAGGCCAATCAATATGAAAACGATAGGATCAAAATAAAAACTACCATATTTTTCGCCCTATAGGATGCACCAGACCACAAGACACACCTAGTTTTTGGAGGAGGAAAACAAGAAAAAAATTATTCTGAATCTCAGAAGCCAGAACAGCAAGAGGGATCGCTGCGCAGCGAAAGCAGCAATCCCTCTTGCTGTTCTGGCTTCTGGGATAGCTGCACAGCCTGCATTCACTCCATAAGACGCAGACACATTTCCCCTTACTTTTCAGGAGGGAAAAAGTGAGTCTTATAGAGCAAAAAATACGTTATTTCAAGCTGCAGTTTGCTTCTTTTACTATTTTAAAGCCTCTATTTCTGCCAGACCAAGATTGTGTGTATCATACTAATTCTGTTTCTACCGTTTTGCAACTTTAAAAAATATTATTTGGCACATAAAAGTACCTGAGGGGGGGGGAACCCTCACAAAATTTGCATTTATAGGAAAACCTGTTGAACAAATTATACAGCATAACAAATTTTGTTTTCATGGGGCAAGGTCTCCATAACTGGACCGTGTATCCATCTTGCATTTTCTCTAATGTTTGAAGAGGAAGTTACATTCGGGAACCTGCCCTTGAGACCATCACGAGCTGAGGAACCGAAAATATGTTCCCCATGTCTTTGCATCTATGGATCTCCTTCCAAACATTATGAATCTGTTCTGTGAATACCCTGTGAAAATACAGGCACCAATCTTTTTCTGCAATCTGTGAAGCACCGCACAGCAAATCAGAATAGATAGGGCGCCTCCCACACCAAACACTGTTATCGAATGGAACTCAGCAGAGACACTTGCAAACATGAAATGAGATAAGAGAACATTTCAAATGCTTATAGTCTTCACTTCAAGGAAATGAAACCATATTAAGCACAGATAGACGCATCCGTAAGGATAGTTTTTAAAAGAAGAGTGCAGGACGAGAAGCTATAGCCAAGTACTGTTTTCACTTTAAAATCAAAGGAGATTTTATCATCAATAATCCATTTAAACAATGAAGGGAATGCTGTTTGCTTGTCAATAGTTGTTTTGCCCAGAAAATAGCAGCTGATCTTTTATTCATGAACAGATTTATTTTAATTCTATTCCACATTTCTCCTATCTGCCCAAACTGAATGAAATGTCTGATAAAATGCCATAGCCATTAAGCATATACTGTATCCTGAAGATACTACTGGCCTACTAAAGCTGGGATGCTCCTTAATTTTGAGCACAATTATAGATATAATCTCAGTGAGAAGCATAATGAGACTGGCCCAGGTTTGCAGTGCAAGAGTTATTCTTTGATGCCATTTTGTGAGTTCTAGCGCTATCATTTTTTAAGCGATGAACTAAAATACCTGGGGATCACACTGCTGGTTCACGACTTACCGTGCAATCTGTGGCAAAGCAGACTGGACCTGAAACATTTGCAACACAAGAAGCTACCCTGTTTTAACTTTCATTCACGTTCATTCACCCTTTTTCCATTCTAACAACGCCACCAAAAATTGAATTTATGATTTTTGTTGTTGTTGTGACCATCACAGCCTTTCAACCACCGCTAAAAAAGAAATATATGCATACTATACAAAATATACACCATTACAATGTAGTATCGCCCTATTTGTACATATACATATGTGTTGTATATATAATTGTATATACAGTGATATAAAAATACAAGCTGAGGCAAATAAGCTTCCAAAATTCATTTCCGATCAGATCTTTACAGTCCATCATATTATCCTTAATGCACCTTCTTTCTCAATTTTTGAGCAGCAGCTGCAGCTGCAAACCTTGCAACGTTGTGTTGCAAGATTCACATGCATGATCCGACGAAAGAGGCTGAGGAGGAGAGCCAGGACAGGCCACGATTTATCCCCCTGGGAGCGGGCTAGGGTGGCACTCATTGGCCAGCTGGGCCCACCCCACCCCCAGGAAGCACCTGCCCAAAACCAGCCAGCATTGGTCAATCACCAGGTGGCAGCCATCCAGCCCAGCCATTCGCCAGATCACTCCCGTGGCCCGTGTGCAACACTGCCCCCCATTGGAGCAGACTGCCATACACAAATGCACATAAGGTATGCCTTCCACAGGGCACACAAACTCTCTCTTGCTCTCTCACTCTCTCTCCCCCTCTCACCTCTTTCCTTGCCCGCTGGACTTGTTTCTCCAGTTCCTCAGGTATCATCTTACCTCTATGGGACACAGATTTAAAACTTTTCAGTTATGTAATAGGTTACTCGCTTTCAGCACTACTTCAGTATTTTAAAAGGATGATCAGACGGCTTCAACGGCTTCGGTTGCCTTACCTTTCATCACTTTTGACAAAGTAAACATTTTGTGTGCCGATCCCCAAGAACGACGCTGCCTTCTTCACGGAATAATGACACTGAGTAAAGGGTAAAAATCAAACAGGTAACAGCAGGCATATCGACAAATATGTTTCCTGAGGCACACGCGTTGCCGGTTTTGGGCAAAAATCAAGGCTTCACAAAACCAATGACAGCCACAGAATTGCAAAATAGGCGAGCATTATCCTCCTCTCTCAAAGCAGGGGAGGGGGGAATTCTGAGCTTTTTGAACCTTAAATTTAGTTGAGCACTGGACGTAAACCCCTGGTTTCATGGCTCAAAGTAATTGCTCTACTGACTGAGCTATCTAGAAAAATTTCAGGGCGGCTTATTTGTTTTAGTAGAATAATAATAATAAAATAGGGAGGAATAAGAAACTGGAGCAAATTGTTAAGTTATTTAAGGGTTAAATTAATATATTTGCCAACCACCCTGAAAACGCCTTAAATTGTTCCTTCGCATACAGCAGGTGAAACCAGGTGGTTAATTAATTCAGCTTTCTTCAAGAGAGTTCACACAAATGCAGTTAAGGAGGAACATAATTATGAAAATACTGCACTTTAATGTGTGGGTATGAATATATTAAAGGTATTCAGTCCTGTCACACTTTTTCTGATGAGATGGATCGCCCCACTTTTTTGACAGGGCTTCTTCCCCCTCTTCCCACCCCACCCCCCAATTTTTAACTAAATGCACAGAAGATATCATCAGCTACCACCAGCCAATCTTTTCTAACATGGCAGATTCACAAAGGCTTTAGAATCCATTCACTCAGAGTGTTGTGTGAATAATAACATACATAGGTAGATAATTAATCTTCTGTTACATTGAATTACATCAATAATGAAATACGTGTGCAAAGCTACAATGTGGCACTCACTAGAGATTTGGACTTTTAAGCAGCAAGGTTTCATTCGAATTGCGAGTGATTCTCACAAAACAGCTCCTTATTAGTAAGCTATGAGTCACCTATTAAGCTCAATCAAAGGGAGTGTGACATTGAATTACTAGAAAATGTCAAACCTCTCCGGGCTCAGAAAATAATAGATCAGCAAAATCTCCAAAGTGGGCAGGGGGATGGGGGGGACAAAGGCAGCACAATGAATCACAGCTCTTGTTATGAACAGTATATAAGTATGAGAAGATCACAATTAAGGGCCCACGATAATTTCGTCCCGACTTTGTTCTAATTTCAGTTAGCTAAAACAAACGATGGAGTTCTCAAGAGTACAGAAATAATGGAGAACTGTGGTTGGTCCAAAAGTGGAAGCTTTCAAGAGAGGGAGGGCATGCAACCTTTGTCTTGTGTAGCCACATTCCCACAAAACGTGTTCTCCCTAGCAGAGAGCACGTGTTGTGGTGGGGATACAAGCCACCCCCATTGTTGCTGGGCGGATTTGCGGAGTGACCCAGGCAGTGAATTGGTTAATTGGGTCGCTGGGGAGAATTGCTTGTTGCCAATTTTGAAGGAGGGGTCAGAGTTTTCAATATTGGACGCCCAACTTTGGGCGTCCTCTTGGCTGCTTGCACTGGATCACCCGCCCACCCTCCCTGTATTGGGGGGGTTGTTCGCTTGACCTTGCTATGCCTGTCATGGGGTCGTCTGCTTTGAGGCAGGGGCCTGGTAGGAATTTTGTCCATTTGGCTGATTGGCTGGTGCCATTTGGTTTTTGCCTACTGCGTAGCAAATCGTCACAACTTGTAAGGTTGGCGGTTAGCATTGGTTCAAATTGGTTGGTGGAGGGGCAAGTGCCTACCCCTCCAATGTGGTGCGGAAAGGGAATTCTGTTAAAGGAATTCAGGGGCTTGCCATTCTTTTCGTCCTTGTCCCTTGCATCGGACTTGGGGCCGTGCAAGCCACCAAGAGCATGAGGGTGAGAAGGGAGGGACTGAGGCCCAGCTTCATTTTCTCCCCAAAATTGTGTCAGGAAAAAGCATCAATGCAAGAGCAAGTTGCAGGTGTCTGTAATGCCAAAACAGGATGTTGATGTTTGGGACTGTACCGTGAGAACAAAGGGACAGTCTATTCACTGTTCTGAGCACCGGATGTTAGCTCAGAGTGTCATATGACCTGTACTGGAAGTACAGGGGTGGAGTTTACTCTCTCTACTGTGGAGACTGGAGAGTGCAGACGTGTTTCTCTGTACTGCTGTGAAGACAGAAATAAAAGGCATGTAAATAGATTTCTGTCTGTCTCTTTCCCCTCCCTGAGGGAAGCAGGGAGGAGGGAGAAATGGTGTGTCCCTCTCACGCTGAGTGGGATCGCCGATAGAGGCCTCGCCTGTATCTTGCCGGGAGTCGCAGACGGGGAGGTCAACTAGGAACTCAAGCCGGGTTGCCTGGAGAGTGGCCAATTCCTCTGACAAGGCTTGATTCGACATCTTGTTTCCCTCACTGGCTTCCGCTGGAATCCGGAAGTCAGTTCTGCCCCTGGGCAAGGACAGATAGTCGGAACCAATGCCTAAGCAACCACTCACTTGTGTATATTTAAATAAAGTTGTGGGCCAAAATCGTGCCAAAACCCAAACCAAAATTGATGTGTGAATTATTGGGGGGTGGCTTGGGGACCTCGACACGCAACAACCAACATGGCTTGTCATTACGTCCATACCTGGTCAAAGTCCCCCCAAATTTACTCCCATAATTTACTAAGCGGACCAAAGTAGGCAGTTAATAGAAGTGTTTCAATGAAGTATTCAGTCCGGCATTTTTCTTACGTTTTGATCTGATGAAACTACCTGTACATATGAGGTGGGAAAAGGTTTGTTCTCTCACTGAATGGGAAATAAGCTGGGTAGCTGACAGCAGCCCATATCTGTTCCCGGGACAAAATGTCCCTGAGAATGAGGCAATGCCATAGTGTTTTGTTGTTGCCAAGGGCATCCTTGATGGCAAAAGGTGGCTGCCCCCATAATATAGCATTGTTTGTCCCAGTAACAAAACAAACCCTTGGCCACCTCTTACTTGACAGGTACCTCCTTCCCACCCACAAATTCTTAGAAAGCACCTTCCCTGCAAAAAGACACTGAATATCCCAGACACGCTTCTACAGAGGATAAATGGTCCCACAAAAGTGGGGGAAATATTTCGTCCAGTTTTTAAATTGTTTTGCCATGGGGGAAAAATGCAGATTACTGCAAATTGCTGTTAAAATACAATCACTGAAGAACACAACACTCCATTTACATCAGCTTGAAATAATAAATTCCAACAATGCATTTCAATTTGTTCCTGGACTAGATTGTTCCCTCTTGACAAACCATTAAGAACAGGCTTTTTTTTGGTCACTTTTAGGGAGACGTGATTTGTCATTATCAGTTGAGTAGCATGTAATAATCAAGTAAAGAAAGCCCCTTGAAGTATAAAACAGATGTTTTTGCTTGTGGCCGTTGTTATTTTTATTTTAACTGAGAAATGAGCGTGGAACCGTTCTGCTTTAATTTAAAACAGTATCTCTCTGCTCCCAACACTGGAGCGGTGGGTGGAAATAAATGAATGTTTCGTCACTTAACTCACTGTAGGGAAAGCTATCTCCCAGGGAGAGGAATACAGCAAGGAACAGAAAGACTGCAGGTAAGCAGACAGGTGCATGCCCCCCACCTACAATGTAAATAAAGTCGATCAATAGGCTTCTCACTGTGGGCAAAACTTGTAGGAGCAAGAGTGCAGAGCAAGTGAAGTGGTGCTGAAACAGCATATTTGTCTACTACATGAGCTTAGAAAAGAGCAGAAGAGATACAGTTCTGGAAGGATTTCCAATGAGACTTCTTACAATTATATTTTATTTTTTTGCTAACTGGGCTATGCACACACTTCCATTTACTCTGCATCCAGTGTGATCCCACCAAGTGCCAGATTTACGTATAAGCTAAACAAGCTATAGCTTAGGGCCCCACTCTCTTGGGGCCCCCCACAAAAATTAAAGGGAAATAAATCTGGGTGTACATTTCCAAAATAAAAAATAAAAAACCAATGAAATAAAACCTACATACACCAACAGTGTTTGGTGTTGTGTAGGCTCCTACAATGGTACCTCGGGTTACATACGCTTCAGGTTACATTCGCTTCAGGTTACAGACTCCGCTAACCCAGAAATAGTGCTTCAGGTTAAGAACTTTGCTTCAGGATGAGAACAGAAAATGTGCTACGGCGGCACGGCGGCAGCAGGAGGCCCCATTAGCTAAAGTGGTGCTTCAGGTTAAGAACAGTTTCAGGTTAAGTACAGACCCCCGGAACGAATTAAGTACTTAACCTGAGGTACCACTGTATAGTTAAAGCTATGGTTTTCCCAGTAGTGATTTATGGAAGTGAGAGCTGGACCATAAAGAAGGCTGATCGCTGAAGAATTGATGCTTTTGAATTAATGGTGCTGGAGGAGACTCTTGAGAGTCCATGGACTGCAAGAAAGATCCAACCGATCCATTCTGAAGGAAATCAGCCCTGAGTGCTCACTGGAAGAACAGATCCTGAAGCTGAGGCTCCAATACTTTGGCCACCTCATGAGAAGAGAAGACTCCCTGGAAAAGACCCTGATGTTGGGAAAGATGGAGGGCACACGGAGAAGGAGACGACAGAGGACGAGGTGGTTGGACAGTGTTCTTGAAGCTACCAGCATGAGTTTGACCAAACTGCGGGAGGCAGTAGAAGACAGGAGTGCCTGGCGTGCTCTGGTCCATGGGATCACGAAGAGTCGGACACGACTAAACAACTAAACAACAGTTGGGCCATGTACATTGCAACCTGGGATGTTGAACTATCCAGACTGCCTTGGCCTCTGTATCAGGGATTAGGACCGCATCTGCACTATATCTAAAGCAATATTATACCACTTTAAGCACCGAGAGCTTCCCACAAAGAATCCTGAGAATGGTGGTAACTTGATTGTTCCTGGTCCCCTCACATAGGTTCAAGTCCTGGAGAAGAGGTATTGATTATTAAACCTCTACAATTCCTGGCGTTATTTGGAGGAAACCATAACTGTTAAAAAGGTATAAGTGCAGGTGGGGCTTTAGTGTCTGTGATTTTTTTCATGTTCTCTGTATAGAGGGACTCCAAAACTCTGCTTTCTTAAGTTTTTCGGAAAATGGTTGTTGAAACCAATGAGGGTCTTGAAAAGGAAAGCGACCTTTCTGCTATATATAGACTGCACAGGTTCAAGTCAATGGGAGATTCTGCTGAAGTAAAGAATGAACTCTGTTGGAAGCTTGACCAGAAATCTGTAGCAAATAAAAGATGGGGGAAATAATAATTCCATAACTGATAGTTCCCAAAATATTAGAATTTGTTTCTAGCCGTAAGGCATTAGAAAAGGCAAGTGAAGTGACTCCAACAATTGTTCGGAAAATAGACAAATACCAGGGTTTTCTAAAGTAAAATAAACAATTTCATACTTAAAAGGGCTTGTGGGTCAAGTAATGATTGTTTTTGTTTGTT